ACCCATGTACAAAAGAAGAAACTATCATTTGGAAGGCCTGGTGGCAGAGTGGTTATGAGCTGGGCTGCTAACTGCAAGGCCAGCAGTTCAAAACCACCAGCCACTCCTAAGGAAAAATATAAGGTTTTCTACTTCTGTAAAGAAGAAACTATAATTTAATAGGCTCATATTCAAATAAGAAAATATTTATTTTTTAAAAATAATAGGGATGCTGTATTAGTCTGGGTACTTTGGAGAAACAAATCCACAGCAACTCATGTATAAGAGAGAGTTTTATGTAAAGAAAATGTGCACCACGAAAACATCCCAACCCAATGCCGCCCAAGCCCACAAGTCCAACATTAACCCATTAACCCAACACCAGTCCACAAAGTCCTCCACCTCAAAACAGAGGCAATGATGCCGACTGCAGGAGGAAAGCTGAGTCAGTGAACGAACAAGCATCTCAGCACTAGCAGGGGTCTCCACATGGCTGCTCCAGCACCCAGGGCTGCATCGGGATAGGTCCATGTAGCTTCTCCTTGGGGATGTCTTGTAGGAAGTCAATCTTGCAAGCTGAAGCAGGGAACTGCTAAGGCAGCTGCACCCTGGTGCAACCATCACAAAGCAAGAGACCCGAGAACTAGAAAGGCGAGACTCACCACCCATTTATCCCTCGGCCTTTCAATTAGCCCCACATGTGATTATCGGCCAGGTTGGCACAATTAACTAACTAATATGCTAATAGACCCCAAAATCAAAGACACAGTGAAGGAGCTCCTTACTTCTTGAATACTGGTTTAAAACACTAACTTGAATATTTTCAGATAACTCTTATATATACGACTAACAACTAACACTAAAAATAATTATTGCTAATTCTAAATGAAGCATTAAAAAATGGGATCTAAGCTACTGTGATGATATACACATAAAAAATCGCTTTCAAAAAAAAGTAAATGAGTGGATAAATTTTAATAAAGTTATCACACACAAAAAATTAAACTAGTCCTCTAATGACAGCCCTAAAGCCTCCTGGCAATAGGGAACAAATTCCCTCTCCGATCCCATGTTTATTTCCCCAGGAATTCTCTTTCTGTTTCTACATTAGGTGTTTTCAGCTTTAAAAAAAGTAGGCTTTCTCCCTTGTGAAAACCCCACAACTAAGCCCTTAAATGCATGTGTATACAGTTAGTCAAATATTCTGCACTTTGTATAATGCAATGAGCTCTGGTCGCGCAGTGGTCACAGGCTGGGCTGTGAACCACAGTCAGCAGATGGAAACCACCAGCTGCTCTGTGGGGGAAAGAGGAGGCTTTCTTCTCCTGTAAAGAGTGGCTGTCTCAGAAACCCACGATTCTACCCTGTCCTGTAGGGTCACTGGCAATCAGAATTGACTCAATGGCAGTGAGCTTCTTTTTGTTTCTGTGCATAGGTGTTATGAGCAAAATTATGCTAATCCCCCAGCACTTCCTACTGTGATTTTGTGTTTCTGGTGCTGTGGACCCAGGATTACTGGCTGGAGCTAGCCTCTATACACTACTCTTTCTTTCCCACAGGACTAACCATACACTTCTAAAAGAAACTATGATCTCTGGCTACCTCCCTGCAAACGGAGCAATCCAACCCACAAAATCACAGATATACACCTGTATGCTTACGCATCTTTGTGTATCTATAACTAAATCACCTTGTATTCATAGCACACCCCTAGCATTCCTAAAGCCAGGGTGGAACCCTGAGCCCTAGAGTTGGTCAGCAGGACAACTGTCAGTCTCTAGACTCCTCTTCATTTGGTTTCGTTTTTCCTCCTGGCAGAAAAGCACAGCCCTTGGCGTCTGTAAAGACCTGCAGCTGTGGAAGCCCTTTGGTGCAGCCCCACTTTGGGGCCCAGGGTCACCGTGAGGCAGAGCCGCCTCCAGAGCTGGGGAGTTGGGTTTTCTTTTTCTGTCTCTTATCCCTAAGATACAATTTCAAGGCTTTTCTCTTCTTGCTAGCGCAACGACATTTCAGGTGAGCAAGGTACACGTAGGCACGAGCCAGGGAAGACAAATCTGCAGCAAGAGGCTTTTAGAAAGGCTGCCACAGAGGGGCTGTTTTGAAGAGGCCAATGTGGTTGGTTGTCACTTCTAAAGGTGGCTCTCCTCTACAATCTACTCAAGAAACATTAAGGGGAAAAAAGGAAAGAAAAGCAAAGAGACATTAAGGGAGCACGCAGCTGCAATGTTGTGGAGAACAGCCAATCCCAGGCAAAAACAGGTAGAAGAAAATCCCAGGTTAACTTTGCCCTGACTATTCGGGGTGGTCTATCAAAAAGCTTCAGTATTATAAATTGTGAATATTGTTACGATTAGAAAAACACTGTACTGTAAACGTCGAGAGAACTCCCTGCCATCGTGTTAGTCTGCTTCCTTTCTTCTCCCTATGTGCTTCACACATCTTCTCTAAAACCATATTCCCTTTATGCATTTTCATCGAGAGCATAATTTTAATGCATCATATTCAATTCTATAAATGTCCTAAAATTTAATGAAACTTTCACCATTGAGCACTGAAGGTGTTTCAAGTTTGTGTGTATTATAAAAAGTGTTGCAACAAACATACATAAAACTTAGGATATACCGCTTATTAATTATATAGCATATACTCAAGAAGGTAAATTGGATCAATGGGTATGAATATTTTTAGTTTTCTAATACATACTGTTAAAACTGCCTTTCAATAGGTGGATCCCTGGTGGTGCAGTAGTTAAGCACTGGGCTTTGATCTGCATGGTTGGCAGTTCAAAATCACCAGCATCTCCGAGGGAGAACAGTGACAAGTCTCAGAAACCCACAGGGAGTAGCTATGAATCAGCATTGACTCGATAGCAGTGAAATCTAGTTTGGGGTTTATTTCAGTAAGATAATACTAGTTTTCTTAAATAAAATTAAATATACATTCTATAAATAAGCTATTCCTATCTTTTAGTGAAAAGCAGGTGGCGTTTCGTTTCTGCCATCCTGCCTGTGGTAGCCTTCCATCTTCACACTGTCTTCTCAGAAGACTTTCAGGATCAAGATATTCCCGACCAAGACGCAAAAGTAGAATCAGCCCATTCCCAGTGGATTCAAATGAACCAGGTAATAAGATCAAGTAAATGTTTTCTAAAAGATGCCTAACTAGAGTTTAAAAATGTAAAAGAAATATGAACCCAAAAAGTAGCACTGCCAAAGAGTGTTTAAATAAAATCATAGATTTTCCTGTCATAAATGTGTTCTACATTGTAGCTAATTTGAAAAGAAGATAAATCAAAGAACAGTGGAACAAGCATATTGTCCACATGCTTCCTTTAGAGAATAGCTATCTAGCCCTCTGGCTTTCCAGCTCTCACAGAAAACAAGAGGACTAAGAAGTAATCTTGCCCCCACACACACACACTGGACTTGAATCTGATCAAATCTCTAGATCTAGCTACAATCTACCAAATACGTAGGGCACACAGGACACAAACACAGAGACACAACAGCAAAACCCAGTCCATCCGAATTGCTTCAAGACAAATGGCCCAGTTTCTTCAGCCACTAATTTCCATTTCAATCTCACCTCCCTGAAACCGACCATTCTATCTTCCTCAAGTGTACTCAGATTATACTGTGCACACATGACTGTAAGTGCATGTGTGTCTCTCATTCCAGTACAAGAGGAGTACAACGAGGTAGCCTACAACAGAGCTTGAAGTCAGCCCAAGTTAGAGACCAGGTGAATCGTCTGTGTCAGATTCTACGACATGGAGAAAATAGCAATTACTATGCAAAGAACAGTAAGGAGACGGTGAGGAAATACATGTAGAAACCTAGCAGCGCTTGGCTCATCATAAACAAACAAACAAAATAACAAATTTATGACCACTAAGTCATTTCTTAGTCTTAGTGACCTTGTAAGTTAGGGTAGAATTCCCCTTGTGGGTTTCCCAGACTGTAACTCTTGACAAGAGTAGACAACCTCATCTTTTCTCCAAGGAGCTGCTACTTAGTGGTTTTGAACCACTGATATTCCAGCTAGTAGACCAAGGTGTAACCACTACACCAACAAGTCAGTTAAGAACTACCTAGTGCCATACGCAGCAAAGTGTAATAGTTGTGAATTTCCTGTCCTTTACTTCATCTACGAAGCCCTGGTGGAGCGATGGCTACGTTCTTAGCTGCTAGCCAAAAGGTTGGCTGTCTGAAGAATGAAGCAGCCAGTCGGCTTCCATAACAATTATAAGCAAAGACATCTGTGGGGCAGGTCGACTCCATCCTCCAGGGTTGCTCTGTGCGCACATGAACTTGACAACCATAGGTCTGGTTGGAGTCTTGGTGATTTCATCTACTGTGTTCTTGTAACACCTAGTGAGCAGTAAAACGCTCAAGTGACCAATGTTATTCATGTGTTTAGTTGCCAAGAGGAAGGGGGGAAAAGTTGCAAAGATAATTAAAAAAAAAAATCAATCAATTTCTAAGTAATTGACCTTGACGGCGCTAAAGTACCAAGGAACACTTCAAACACAGCAAATGCCACCTGATAAAGAATGGAATTGGTAAGCCTAAACTTTATCAAGCATGGTAAAAGTAATCAAAGTATTTTAGAACTAAAACAATCTTTGAGTATAATTTTTAGTAATTTGTAAAAAAATTAAAAAGGAAATTTTCATGTCACATTAAATATCAACAGTATTCTAAAACTTCCATTTTCTTACACACACACACACACACACACACACACACACACACACACACCCCACCCCCCCCCCACACACCCACACCCAACCCCAACACCACCCAACCCCACCCCACCCCACCCCCACACACCACCACCCCCGACCAGTAGGGGGCATAGCTTCCCTAGTCCAGGCCAGCAGCTGCCAAGGAAGGAAGAGGTGGTAGTAAACACACACAGACTCAACTTATTGTCATCCGAAATTCTGAAAACATACTTTAAAACTGCTTAAAAGTCCTAATTTATAAGTAAAATATTTCCAAGAAGAAGAAGATACTTACATCTCAATTTGTCCAGCATTTTCCCACCACACATGGTTGCTAACATAGCCTTCACTGAGAAAACCGTCAACTTGCCCTGGCCCTCACTGCAAAATAAATGACATTAGAAATCATTGCTACCTGGAACCACAAAAACAATCAAACACTGTTAAATACCCGTAAATTAAATCCCACCCTGAGATGATGTCACCATTTGGCCACACGTGTCCCTCGCAGAGCAAAAGCTTTATGTCAAGCTCGGGGACAAATGCTACGAAGCGGCTCTCTGGAAATATCCTGTGCCTCAAAAAGTCGGAGGAGACGCAATGGCAGTGAGCTTGGGTTTCTGTTTTATGGTTGGTTGTTGTGTGTGTGGGTTTTTTGGTATAAAGATCACAAATTATGTTAGAAGACAAGAACTCCCCTATGACTGATACAGAACCTCTACAGTCCACATCCTTTTTGGTCATCCACCATCCACATGCAAACTATTTGGAAATGAACTGTAGAAATTAACTTCTACTGGTTCTGTGAATAGAAGCCAAATTTGCCAGGAGTAAATTTCCAATCAATCAAACCTATGAGCTCCATGGCTGAGATGTTTTCAGGTGTTCAAGACTGAGGCTAAAAACAAAACTGAGGCACCACCTGGTTTGAACAGGAATTCAGAAATGTGGCCTCAGATCTGGATACTCTAAGTACGGTTACCAATATGCACTAAACTAACAGATATGCACTGCTATAAAGATTTCATAATACATTCATGTTTGTGAGCTTCATACTATCATGAGTTTATTAGCAAAGTTCAAATACATCTGTCTCAGATCTTCCCGTGATATCATCGTGAGAAACGTGAGGTAAAGGGGGGTAGTAAATTGATATTTTTTTAGGAGCTAGAAGGATAAGAGGTAGACGAACATAAATGAATTACCCAAAGAAACATTGCAACCTCCAACAGAATCAAGACAGTATCACCACGGGCCCAGGGCCCAAACAGGTCCTGCTCTATCTATTCCTCTGGAGCCTGGTTTTACAGCAGATACAAAACTTCAGGGTCAGGGTTTTAAAGTTAGTTAGCGTCTATAACCTTTTGTGTAATGTCCACACATTGCGTCACTTGGGGTGAAGTAACGAGAACTCGATCACCTTGGTTTGAAGAGGGAATGTCATCTTACTTTTATTCACTCAGGTCCTAGCAGAGGGCTTCCCATTTCTCAGGCCTTCTTTGTGTGTAGAAGCCCAAACCTGGGAAAAGGCACATGGGCTCAGCTGCCAGAAGGTTCTTAGGGAGCACATGACCAGAAAATAGCAATGGTTGTTACAGTAACAGTCCATTACATTTACCATTAAGATTACCCAGGAAACCCTGGGTCGAGCTAAAATGAGATAGGATGAGCTTATAAACTATATCTGGTTCTTCAGAAATACAGATAATACTCCATGCCTGGGGCAACATGGAGATAACCATGACATCACACGTGCGGCTACACGGATCATCTGCTATGTCACAGGGAATGAATTCCTAAGACTGATACGGAACCTTTACAGTGGATATTTCCTTTTGTTTGGTCATCAGTCATTCAAATGCCAAGTGTACATTTACGTACACCCTACTATATCATCCCCACCACTTGTTTGTAGTGGCTTGGGTGTTGCTATTAGGCAGTGAAATATGGCACCAGTGCTCCATACATACCAGCAGGGTCACCTGTGGAGGGCAGGTTTCAGTGAACTTCCAGACTAACACAGACTGGGAAGAAAGGCCTGGGAGGCTGCTTATGAAGACCTTCTGGAGCACAAGAGAGCGTTGTCTAACTCGCTTGCTTTGGACATGCCATCAAGAGAATCAGCCGTTGGAAAAGGACGTTGAAGCTGAGGGCCAGCAAGGCGAGGGAGACCCTCGGTGAGATGACTGACCCAGATGGCACAACGATGGACATGAACACACCTGTGATCATGAGGGTGGCAAAGGGCATTTTGCTCCGTAGTACATGAGTTCACCATTCGTCAGCGATGCAACAGCATCAACCACCAACAACTTGATAGTACAAGTTCACTCCCAGCTACTAATGTTAGAAGAGGAAAAAAAATGCTTTCTCATCTTCCCTCCAGCTAGGTCTTGGGCACACGACCCAAGTTCCACCAGTAAGAATGACCACCCTAGACTTCAAATATAAAAGTATTCGTTTCTAGAAATATGAATTCCAGAGAGTATATCTGGTGAGGATAGCAGCTGTAGGAGTGGCTACATCTGTTCTAGAAACAGCAGAGACTGATTGTCCTGGCAGCCATCAGAGCCCAGCATCAGTGGTGCCGAGAGGCGTCTTCATGAGACCGATTTTAAGATATGACTCGGAGCTTTATTCTTGCCAAGGTGGTCTTTCAGCTTTCCCCCAAACTTCCCTAAGTTTCCCATCCTTGGAATAAATTAGCCAGAGTGAGTTTTTCTTACCTGCAACTAACTATTCATAGATAGGACTTCTGACCTGAAGTCATGGGCCCAGAAAGATAAATCAACAAAAGAAATCAGTTCCTGCCATCCAAAGACGAAGAGTCGAAAGTATTACTGTTAATCAGCAGAGCAGGAATAAGGAGGAAGTGCTCAAAACACACAAGAGCCAACCCTGGCTGCAGAGCTAGACTAGACCTGCTCAAAGTGTTTGTGTGGACACAGATTTCACAACATGAGAATGTACAGATAACTGAACAGGGAAAGAAAAGTGAAAACAGAACCCTAGAAGAGATTTCCAGAAACATCCAGACCTTGGTTAAATTTGGGGGAGAGAAAGGGCTGTGGCATGCAGGGGGACCAGAGGGTGCTGACAGCATTCTAGTTCTTAACCCCCAGAGTACTTGTGTAAGACGCCTGGGTGGTTCCACAGTTCTGGCTGCTAACTGCCAGGCCAGCAGTTCAAACCCCACCAGCTGTTCTTTGGGAGGAGGATGAAGCTGTCTGCTCCTATATAAATTTATAGTCTCAGAAACCCTATATAAGATTGCTCACACTGATTGCGATAAGAGCTGTAAGAGCCTCCAATAAAATGATTTTTTTAAAAAGATTGCTCATACTATCAGGAGAGACCCACCCCTGAAAAAGCACATCATGCTTAGTTAAGTAGAAGGGCAGCAAAAAAAAAAAGAAAGGTAAGATACACTAACACGGTGGCTGCAACAAGGGACTCCGATACAAGAACAATTGTGAGGGTGGTGCAGAAATCGTGAGGGTGGTGCAGTGTTTCGTTCTGTTGTGTATGAAGTCCTTATGGGTCTGAACCAAGTCGATGGCCCCTAACAACAACATGAACAGAAACGGACTCATGGGCAGGGGGTTTGATTTGGTGGGTACAGTACTTGTAGGAATATTTGCTTTATAGCAAGTCAGTAAATGATACTTTGTTTTCTGTTTTTTCTCAAGAAACATAAATATATTTTCCGACTCAGAGTGACCGCATAGGACAGGACCTGTGAGTTTCCGAGACTGTAACTCCACATGGGAGTGGAAAGCCTTGTCGCTCTCCAGAGGAGCAGTTGGTGATTTCAAACTGCTGACCTGGCAGCTTTTATTAAAATAAACTTTCATTTTACATAAAAAGAAAGGTATTGTATATTCCGCACAAAATACTGTTGAAAAATGAAGCCCCTGATTGCCAAAAGCTGAGGGAATCTTAAATACTAAGTCATAGAAGTCCATTCTCTTTGACATTCTGGGAAAGGCAGTGAGGAAAACCGGTGGTCTCCAGAGGTTCAGGGGGCAATTGGTGGGAGCCAGGGCATTTGTAAAGCAGTAGTACAACTGTGGTGCATGACCCTGAGATAGTAAGACAGATGGATTTATGTGTTTGTCAAAACCCGGAGAACCGGACAACACAGAGTGAACCCTAATGTCTTTAGTGAATGAATATAACAATATTGCCAAAAGCCAAACTCACTGCCATTGACTCGATTCCAACTCATAGTGACCCTGTGGGACAGAGTACAATTGTCCCTGTGGGTTTTTAAGACTGTAAATCTTTATTGGAGTAGAAAGCATCATCTTTCTCCTGAGGAGCAGCTGGTACTTTAGTTACTGATCTTGGGGGTAGCAGCCCAATTCATAACCCACGGTTCCTTGTAGCAATACTGGCTTGTCCTAGATAGCAATGTACCACAGTATAAAATCTTAGTATTAGGGGAAATTATATGCAGGGGAGACAGGAAGGTATGGAATACAGAATTTGGGGAACTAAATGTATTTTTTGAGTAATGCTTCGATAAATAAAAAGCTGCTCTAAAAAAGTAAGTATAAAAAAGTACATTAAACAAAGCCTAACAGAAAGAATCCTATAAGGGTAATGTAATTCCAAGAGGAATTACTGAAACCCAAGTGAAGGCTGAGCATGAGAGTGGGACAAGAGGAAAGTAAAA